TCAACAAACAATCAAGAAATTAGAGAACTCACATTTGCTTTGAGTTTTCACGTGGAGAAGAGAAGAAGATGAAGAAGAGAATTGCTTTGAAGCTTATCTCTTCAGTCATTATCCACATGGGTATTATAATACCCATTAATTATTATTTAATTATTTTTCTTGTTCAATTACTTATTTTCCCTTTGACTCCTTTAATATTTACTAATAACTTTCAGGAAATATCTCCACATAAATCATTAAACTATTCAACTATTCTACTTTAATCACCATATTCTGAAATTTTTACAATTTAGTCATTAACCCATAGTTTTGGATGTTACAAATCTTTCCCCCTTAAGAAAATTCGTCCTCGAATTTTTATTGCACCAGGAGATAAGATACTGTCTACACGTCTCCAATGCATTTTACTTTAACCTTTCTAAAATCCATATAATGTAATTCATTATATAGACAATAACCTCTATTTTCATCACTCCATACCAGTAATCCATCTATTTTTTTTAATCTCTAATTACCATATAATTTTTTTTATGGTTCAGATTCAACCATTCCATTTTCCTTTGTCTTATAAACTGATCACTGATGTACATATTCTTAAACTTTTCTATAACAATATTCTGCATCATTTAATCTTTTAATATTCTCCTTATAACAATCATCCCCTCTACCTTATCTTATCAATGCAACAAAGAAACTATTCTATTTCAGAACGATATAAATCCTCTAACATTATAATTTCCAATTCATCTAAACTGTTTAACTCTACTCTTTTCAATTATAATTGACATTTTTATGGTAATTATAAAACTGGTTTATTTCCAATCTTACTTCAAATTCATTGAATAATAATTCATCAATTTAGTAAGAAATTAAATTCTCTGAATTATAATGGGACACTTTCAATATATCTTACTTATCCACACACTGTACCCTAATAAATTTGTCACTGTCATATTACTATAAATAACTTCTAATTGAATTCTCAATTCTTTCACCAATTTACTACTATTATATGAACAAGCAAGCCTAAATCAATCATTATCATAATGTATTTATTTCACACTAGAAAGATACCTGCTATTATCTCCGGATCATCAAAATCTTCATTGGTATTAATATTATACATTCGAGCAGTGGAGCGTATTTCTTGTTGAGTAGAGGATCCAGGTTGGCTCCTACCTCTTCCTCTACCTCTCCCTCTCCAAGGTATCGAAGCAGATCGTTCCGACTGTACTGGTTCTTCTTTCCCCAATGGGCAATCTCTCACAAAATGTCCCGTTTCACCACATCGGAAACAAGCTCCGGATTCTACCCTACATATTCCACCATGATATTTTCCACAAGTCTGACAATGTCTCTGTTGGGTTCTGTCCTCACCAAACCCTACTGATTGGGTCTGACTAGCTTTCATCTGATTTGATTCTCTAACGGATGATACTACCAATCCAGACCTTGCCTGAGACTGAGTACCAGAATTTCTACCCCTCTTGGGTGATGCAAAACTCGATAAAGCACCGGTTCTTTTAGATGATTGGGTTCTTTGATCCCCAAACCTTTCATTCTGAGCTCTCTCTAGAGCTTTAGCACGATTTACTATTTCTTGAAACGAGGACAAGTTCAATACTATTAACATTTCTTTCAACCTTGGGCGCAAGCCCTCTACAAACCACTCACACACATCCTTCTCTGTTGGGATCAACTCAGCCGCAAAACGACTTAACTTATTAAACTCGCACTCGTACTCATACACTGTGCAATTCATCTGTTTAAGATTCAAAAATTCTTATTTCATTTGCCTGATAAATGGGTCTCCTATATACTTATGCTTAAACTCTTCTAAGAACAGAGACCATGTCACTTGATGATTGGTTATTCTCAAAGTGACATTTGTCCACCAAATTCTCGCTTGCCCACGAAGCAAGGAGATCACTCTATCTAACTTCTCTACATTAGAACAGTGGAGTCCATCTAGCATAATTTTTACATCATTAAGCCAAAGGTCCCCAGCAACAGGACCTTCTTCGGCTTCACCTTTAAACTCTGTAGCTCATAAACCCTTCAACTCCTTTGCAACATTCATTCTTAGAGTTGAAGTAACAGGAGGTTGAAAACGCGTAAATACCGCATCTAATGTTCTAAAGAACACATCTTGATCAGTTACAGGCACTCCAGAAGGTGTCTGTTCTTCACCTTGCCTGGCTAGGGCAGGTGAATTACTGCTCTCAGCGGGCCGATCATTTCCCGCTTGACTTCTATAACTATCATGTCCGGACATCTATTAAGAATAAACATATCGTTCTATTAGCAAAACAACATACTCATTACTATACCAGATCAGAAGTTTTCACTATTTTATTGGCATGTATACATTATAAGACACCATAGACTCTTGTTTATGCCGAGAATCGGCTAAACCGTAGCTCTGATACCATTAAATGTAACACCCTAACCCATACCCGACCTAGATACGAGTCCGAGATGTCACATTGACATGTTCAAAACCTTTATTCTTGTAAAATAACTGAACATTTGAATTTATATTAAGAAAATACAATCAAATATTATTCAATTGTGTTTGGTATAAAATTTTGAGATAAAAACGTGTTCAAAATATTACAAAACTCGATCAGAGCATAAATACCTAATTTACCTACTTTATTTACATGCCAACCTATTTATCACATAATAATACATACTGTGTAATTTACTTCTGATCTGATCTTTGAGCAGAGATATGTTGTTACTTTGAACTTAGCTTTGATCCTTCTGCTTCTCAGTACCTACGTGTAAATCACTTATACGCTAAGTCATAGACTTAGTGAAGCAAAAACATAATAATAATGCATTTCTCATAAATATAAACATTCAATCTATGAATTCAATCGTGTCGTATATAATTCAGTATACATGATAACATAAGATAATACAAGTACTTTTAATACCTTTTTATCGTATAAGTATATATATAACAAACATTTCTCTACATATCATGGAACACATATACTACTTCACAACAAAACATACATAGTAGCAAATCAATTTATTTATTTACTCTCTGTAAAGACCATGTATTAGCCCATGTATACTTTTGAGAACTTAAGGTATGTGAGTACATTGAGGTTGTGCACCACTATGCTGTCACAACAGCTCGTATAAATGTCCCGAAGGACCAGTCCATAGATTCTGAAGAACCTAGGTAATCAGTCCATATGTCCCGAAGAACATAGGTAAACAACCCATATGTCCCGAAAGAACATAGGTAAACAGTCCATAAGTCCCGAAGAACATAGGTAAACAGTCCATATGTCCCGAAGAACATAGGTAGACCCTCGACCCTTGGCATGCCAACTATACCCCTAGCTCTCATATCACATAACATGGCATTATCATTTATAATAGTTCACATTACTTATTCATATTCTTTCTCTTATAAACACATATCTTTTCTTTTCAGTCACGTATCACATGTATGTGTAATCATTGATCTCCTAATCACATGTTCCTTCTCTTCTGTCACATACCACATGTATGTGTAAACATATATCTAATATCATATGTTGCATTTTCACGTAAGCATGTAAATCATGTAACATATAAACATACATCCATTTCTATGTACTAATGCACACATAGTAATCACATAACATTTTATAAGTTACTTCTTACCATAGTAACTCTATCATTGACTCATTGCAAGCCAATGTTTGATCAATCACATAAGTACAATTTAAATTGCACTCACCTTAGCCTTGCTTTGATTCGATTATAATCCTTTGATTATTCCGGAACTTGTCTAGGCTCAATATCTACATAAATATATCATTTCAAAACAACTATCAGAAGCCTAAACTTTAAACTTGATGTTAATAACTTAAACCGGTTTAATGAATCAAATTCTATATTTTCATTTAGGGGGAATCGATACCCCTTGAACATACTGAAATTTTTCGTTCAAGAGGGGGAATCAATTCCCATTCATAGGGTATCGGTTCCCTCTACCCAGAAATTGTATTTTAAGCTCGAAAATCATCAGTTTTTTCATTCAATTCTTCTATTTTAAACCCCTACCATATCATTAAACTCAACTACTATTGCTTAAACTAACTTATATCCATGAAAATCATCTATAACTTCAAAATCCTATCATTCATATAAAATTCAAGAATCATACTCAATTTTCCATATGTTCTAAATACAATTCTAACACTTCTTTCTTCTTATTCTCATAGATGACAAGTCAAATTTAACTTAAAATTCAACTTATCAACTCTATTCCATGATTTCATATAAAAACTCGTTTTCTTAAATCTCTTATAACTTCTTCATCTTTTTGATTTTAAGATAACTTAAGCTTAGTTATCCTCTAAGGATCAAAACTCATGCTTAAAATCAACAAACAATCAAGAAATTAGAGAACTCACCTTTGCTTTGAGTTTTCACGTGGAGAAGAGAAGAAGATGAAGAAGAGAATTGCTTTGAAGCTTATCTCTTCAGTCATTATCCACATGGGTATTATAATACCCATTAATTATTATTTAATTATTTTCCTTGTTCAATTACTTATTTGCCCTTTGACTCCTTTAATATTTACTAATAACTTTCAGAAAATATCTCCACATAAATCATTAAACTATTCAACTATTCTACTTTAATCATCATATTCTGAAATTTTTACAATTTAGTCATTAACCCGTAGTTTGGGATGTTACACAACTTCAATATAATTGTTTTTATCATTTTAACATCAAAATGTAAGACTTTAATTATATTTATAATTTTGATATCGAAATGTAAGAAAATGAAAGTACAAGATTCTTAGCTCATGTACCTAAAAGGCAAAACGAACTTGAACCTACAATACTAATTATATTGTAAACATTAGATTTTGCTACTGATAAGGTGACATGGCATGTGACGTAAGAATTGGATGAGCCGCTCTCCACCTCACCTGCTTTCTCTTCAAAAAAAAAAAAATCATATTTCTTTCTTATCCCATGTTGTCCACTATTTCGCACTCTTCCTCTCCTTCTATTCCGAACTCTCGTCATGGCCGGAGCTTTAAGGCAGCCCCTCCACATAACCACTTCTGCCAATCCTCCATCGCAACCCTGTAAACCCAGGGCCAGGTGTATTTCCTCCTTACCCGTCGTATTCCAAAACGACAAAAGCCAGCAAGTACTGTTGTCGAAGCTGAGTGGATATTACGGCAACCGGAACCTTGTTTTGAAGTTAGCATGCAAGGCTACCCCCGCAAAGGATGACATTGTGCCTGCTGCTGATGACCCTGAAAATGGAGTCTCTCTTGGTACCATGAAATTGCCTTCCAATACTGATCTTCCCCGGTTCGAAACCTTGTTGTTTCAGGTACTACTTCACTTCCATTTCTTCTTTTGCTTCCGGTGGTAATTTTTTTAGGGTAAATTACTCTACCTTGATTATGAGTCCTTCTATAAAATTATTGAGTCTAAAAGGTACAAGATAATCACTTGATTATGAATAGGTTTTAAATTATATTTTTTATTAAAAAATTGATGATTATATGAGTTGAACTACCGTTTCTTTTAAATATTGGTTTTACGTGATAATATTTCAAGTATTGGTTTGATGGTAGAATGTAAACGTAGATTCGATCACAAAATACCATTCAAATGGATTTAGGATTAGAGATTATCATATACTAGCAAGGTTAATTTTTTAACCATAAAAATTGAATTCAGAATATATGAATAGTCGGGTGATCATTTGTAATTTTCATCGTCCTATAATCGATGAATTATTTTATAACTTTTAATAGTAAACAAAATAGATAGTTGAGGCAATATTTGCGTAGTTTACTCATTTTCTATGACACTTACGTCAACAATGCTGGAACACCACCGTTGGCTAGAGGCTAGACCATAATATAGCTGCTAGCCAATGATAAAGAAAAAAGTAAACAGAAAGGTGCAAACTTTCTTGATTTGCAATAGCAGCTTTATATCTCTAATTCCCTCAAAGGAACATATCAGTGTATTTGATTCTTTTCTTTGTTTATTTAACAGTGGGCCAACAGTCTTTGCCAAGGAACTAATCTGCCTCTTCCGGTGCCTTTGAAGGTTTGTCATCTGAATTCTTGTTACCTTAAAAGTATTTATTTTTACTGCTAATTCGATAAACACACATTCACACGGTTTTAATGAGGCATACAACTTTAAATCGATAAATTTGGTGTTCTTGCTAGATACGTAACAGGTCGAGTTTCTGCCTTGATGCCACATTTTTTTAGTCTGTTGTACAATGTCTATGTTTTTGCGAAACCTGGAAGATTTTAGGTGGACCAATATCTTCATGGTTCTTAACTTAATCATATTGGTGTATGAACCTTGCTTTTTCCCCAAGTCTTGCCCATGTTTTTAGTTTGATATCTTTGATTGCTAACCTCATCGGATTACTCCATCTAGTACCTGATAATTTTGTACAGACCATGGGGATTCTTACCTGATATTGTTTGTATATTACTCAATTTTTGTCTCTTGGGATAAACTTACCAACTCCTAATGGCCTGAAATGTTTCTCCACATTTTGTCTATACAGATCGATAAAATAGCAGGTGGGGCTCGACTTGGTTTTATTACAGTTGGAGATGGAAAGACTGAAGTCCTGGTGTATATAGATTGCTTAGTCTTCCCAGCAACAGATAATTCCGGTCCAATCTTTCGAGCAATAAGAAACGGACCATTAAAAGATCAATCTCCCCCTGGTGAGCCAAGGATCATGAGAAGTCTTCTTCAAGCCCTGCAGAAGTCTGTTGAAATTGCTAGAGTTTGAGCTAGATTTTTGTTCAATATGTACCATTATTCTCCATTTCCCCACCACCCCCTACTTTGCTACCTTCCTGTTTTTCTCTCTTTCCTACATAATTTAAACATTCTGTTTCTAACATAAAGAAATATGATCTAATAATTGTTCATTATCTAGCCATTTTCTTAGTCAGTCTTGTGTCATCAATAAATCATTGGATTCTTCATGCAAAAACAATGATATTATGACTCTCCTAGAACAAAATTTCTGCATGATGTTACTTCCTCAGGCTCTTGTTTGTTTTCTACAAATTAGCTGAATATGAAACTGAATATTCCTTGTGTTCATTTCACTGCTCATGAGATAAGTTAATGGTCATAATTAGAAGGTCATGGATATTTCAGTTCTGGATTTTGAAGAAAATGGAAAAACCAGCATGTTCGAAACAAATGCTTTTTGACGGAGAAGATGGATATGATACTGTAAATACGTCAAACTTCTCAAACAGGTATGTATGGCTTCGTTTTTATCGTGTTTCCTTTCTTGCTTTGAAGAATTCAACTATCTGTTCCTGTTCTTTTTATAATAAGAGTATATCTGATTTAAGATAGTTGTTGGTCCTCTCAAATATATGTTCCACATCTGAATTTTATATCAGCAAATCTAGAACATTTTAGCCAAAAGGATAATATCAAAAAGAGGGAATAAGAGAAACATTATTATGACATTAGGACAGAGACACTACAACCTAATGGAGCAAATTAGTTTTTAGTAGTGGTTCATAGAAGTTAGAATCCCTCGAGGGACTATTACAAGGACTTGATTAACTCTTTACCTAATCTCGTGAAATAATTTCGCGGCTTCCGTTTCTACAAAACTTTATACCAAAATAGACCAAGAGAGAAGACAAGTGGCAGTTAGAGATATTGATGGGATAATTAGTATTTTTTGAGGTAGAAAGTGTAAGCAATTGCTGATAATATAGTTTGCAGAATAGCACAAACTAATCCAATCATTTCAGGGAAAGTACCGAAACGCCTGCGGTTTGGAGACGAATGGTAAAACCAGGGCAACTTGCTTTCCCATTTCCAGATGACTCTTTCCTTTCCAGCCTTGTAAGCAAGCTCAATGATGCATGTCATGGCAGCCACAAAAGAAATTAACATGGCAATTAATATCGATGCTTGTTCACCGAGGAAAGCTGGTCGAAAGTTGCTGATAGAAGCTCAATAAGAATATTGATACTTAGAAAGATCCATTCGGGGATGTTAACCTATCAAATGATTGAAAAAAGGTATAATATTTAGTACTTTTCTTTTGGATACAAATGAGGCTGCAATCTGGGAATAGGTGAAAGGTAGCAGATTTTGGGATTAAAACCCCAAACCTGCAAAATGTCATTTCTTGATGAGGGATGTATGAACCAACTGTGCTAAGCGCTCGGTTCAACTCTAGTATTACGTTCGTCACCTTTTAAGTTGAACTATATCGGAAAGGCTACTGAGTTGGTAGCAACGCCACTTGATATGAAATGAAACATATAATAATGGGATGGGGGCACATATAAGATGCTGTATTACCTTAGCTTCAGAATTTTCCCCTTCATCCATGGCGGCTGTAGAATTTTTGTCTGGCCAAGCATCGGAAATATGAGTATCTGCATCGTCTTCCACCCAAGTTTCTTCAAAATCAGCGATGTACATAAAATGTTCTCCCAGCCGGTCTTCTGCTACCCAAGTTTCTTCAAGCCAAGCTTCTTCATCATATGAGATGTCCATATTATGTTCTTGTGAAGCTTAAAATTTAGTGGTCCCAAAATATTCAGCCAAAGGGAAAAAAATGAAGGGTTCAATGTTAGATGACATAACCTGTGGTATTATAAGAGCGTTGGATTAGTAATCTTTGATATGAAATGATTCTTATTCTTGAATAGGTGAGTCGAGTTTGTGAGTGGTGATCATTGGAAGATTGGTGTGAAAGTTGTCTCTGACAAAGGATAAAACAAGTGCTTGGAGCGTAATCTATTTTTAAAAAAAGGAAGAAAGCAGTTTTTGACTAGAATTATAACCCCCACAGTCAAAATGGTTTGCCTTTGCTGTGAAGTTGCATTCGTTACAACATGGGTTCAACTTGCAGGATTAACGAGATTGGCGCAATTATTGGAAAAGCTCTTTCCATTTGTTTTCCTGTTTGTGGCAGATGCCAATCGAAATTCAGAACCAAAACCAAAATTTTTTCTATTCAACATAACAACAACATTAACGTCTTTCATTCTACGTTGCAGGTCTACTTATTATTCAGGAATTTAAATAGTGGACAGTTTTAGTCTTTAATTAAAATTTTGATTTTTTTAATTTCACTTTAAAATTTTTCACGTGTTGTATTTTGGTCGTTGTCTTAATTATTATGGATTATTTACAGGTTTAACCCCTGTTATTGTAGTTTTATTTGATTTAGTCCTTGCTTTTTTTTTTAACATTTAGTAATGAATTTTGTTCTTGTATCCACGTGATCTTTGTTTATTATTTGTTCATTATATTAGATATCATATAACTTATTATAATATTGTGTATAACTACAGACTAATACTTCATGTACTAATGTACTTAAATTGGGTTTGCCGAATATATATATATATATATATATATATATATATATATGTGCACGCGCGCGCGCTATATATATCATGGTTTAATTAATTCCATGTTGTAAGTTTTTGATACATTTCGATTGTTTATATATATATATATATATATATATATATATATATATATATATATATATATATATATATATATGTCAATGCCATTATAAATTACTTGTATATATAGGTTCAATTGGTAATAAATTTATATTATTATATTTTTATGTATATTAAAATATGTATATAGATGTTTAGTTTTTAGTGTTTTGTATTTATTGTTCATGTCCTATAAATATTTTTATTTTAGATAAATACACATTTATTTTTATCATAAACTTATTTTAATAGAAAATTTATATTTTATTGAAAATGTCTTGAAGGGCGATACATTAAAAAACTTCCAAGCACCTGGAATGTGATTCCTTAAGATGCACGAATAAAAGATATATCGTTAATTTCTAAATTAATAAATATAATTATGAATTTTTTATTTTATTTTTCATGTTATATTCGATATTTCATTTATCCTACACATGACATTTATTAATGTTGTATTCATAAATCATGTATTTATTTTCTCATTTTCCAAAATCATTAAAGACAATGTTGTCTTGCGTCGTGGGCTAACGGAATTACATCCAACATAATTAGATTTCAATTTTCGTTAATCCACGTAGTAAGGGGACATCCTTTTTTAAACAAAGTCGAGTGAATTAAATCTTTTATCGAGTCAAATATTAAAAAAAAGATTCACTCATTCTTTAAAAATCATAGAAATAAAAAGGATCGTAATTTTAAATTTTAAATTCAAATTTCTAAAATTCCATTATTTAGATAACATATAATTGAGGTACCAATTTTGGACGATATGTGGGTGCTCACCCTTCCCCACGTCCAACGGACTCTCGAATCCTTAAAAATGAATTTCTTGTAATACGCAGACCAAATTTGTCTTTTTAAATAATTTTTCTTACTTAATTTTTTTAAAATATATTTTTAGGTATCCGACCTACCTAACCCAAAGGTCGATGGCATCTACAAATTTCAAATCAAATCAAAATCTAAATTTTCCAAAATAAAGTCATAATTATTTTAAAATTAAATTAATGTTAAAGAAAAAATGGTTACGACAACTTGGCGACTCCATTAGAGACCTCGAGAGTGAGGCCTTGTTTGATTATATATTGTACGAGTGATAGAGATTTTACAAATTTGAATCGTTATTTGAGTTATGATCCTTTTCATTTCAATTCTCATATTCATGCATAATACTTTATTGATTTCTTGTAAATAGTTGCACTAATGATTGAATTTCATTGCTTTCAGATGAGTTAAATCTTTTTCGAAATAAATTAGTCATGTTTTTTTTAGTAAAAGGTTTGTGAGTTCTTCCTCACACATGTCACGTGAATTTGCATGTCATAAGCTCTATACTCGAGCTTTGTCCCACTAAGTGGGAGTGAGTCACTAGTGCATCGTGAGTAGTAGCCCTCCGCACAGGCTAGCAAATCACTCTCAGAGTACATGACCTTATGACCTTAGTGAGCAGCCCTTTGTGTAGACATAAGGAATGTGCTTCCTCTAATTGAACTCGATCCGCTTAAGTCTATAATAAATAAGGATTAAGGGTTTGACATCTTAAGGGGTACCAACAATAAGGGCAATTCAAGTACCTTTTTTCCTAGGACCAAAACCATGTATATGGTGAACCCTTGCCCGTAAGAAGTAATGCCAAAATTCTATCTGATAAGTAGTCACCCTAATAGGTGTACACAAAAGAGGAACGACTCTGCACCTTTACTCTTTTTCTACATAGAATAAATTTCTTTCTGAATGAGAGCATCTAAACTAGATACCATGCAGTTAGGATCATTTTGTGGAATAAATCATGTCGGGTAGAAAACATAATCAGGTAGGATTACTATTTTAATAAAAGCATGTTTTGGTAGATACCATGATGGGGTAGGTGTTACATTCATCTTTGAATAACACTTTTATCTTTATTGACTATATTATTTGTATTAACTCATTTTTTCCTCATTTTTGGGACATTTTTTTTTCTCTTTCACTTTTTTTGCATTGTATCATCATCATAGCATAACATTAAAGTGTTGACTCTCTAATTGAATACTTTCATAAATAGAGAAAAAGTTTTTCAATTAAGTAGTCACATACACATATGTTGAAAACATTTTGATGTTTCAATATAACAAATAAAGTACTATTGAATTTTAAGATTTTATATTCGATTCAAAATTTTATATTTGATTAAATTATTCGAATATAAAAAATATTACTCCAAGTTTTCAAATGTCAATTTTAATCCTTACTTAAGTGTAAAATTATGTTTTAATCTTAAAATATTTTTGAAACAATTTTTACAAAGTATTTCGAACCATAATCGAGCCAAAAATAAGTTTTATAAAGGGATGTACCGATACACTCCTGTATGTACCGATACACCCATATTTCGAATGTAATATGGGTACCGATAC